TCATTAATATGTGAATTACTTTGTGTTAGCTAAAAGGATTGTGTTGGTCATCAAGGTCATCTACTGTATGTATCCTGCAATGTTCTGGCATCCCATCCATGGTGTTACATTGTCCTGAGCCTTTTGCTTCCAGAGAGGCTGCAAGTCTTCGAAAAATGGACTTAGTTTAATTATTTCTCGGCGCCCACAATTTATACTAAAAAATAACACGGACACATCCATCTATGCATATATTAAATGAACTATGTTTGTAACAATGAGCTGAATGATCATCTTGTCGTCGGAGTTTATATAATACAGCTGTCAGCGTGTAGGGTTGTCAGCTTCCAGGATTATGATTTCAGCTTAATCGGGCTTTTTTGTTTTTCACTTTTTGTGCTTCAGTTACCTTCCAGATCACATTTCCCTCTCAGCACCTGGGCAGTTAGACTGCTTACTCTGTATTGCCTGTGTGTGAGTGACCTGCAAAGAACCAGGTTTTCTGTGATACTCTTCATATGGATGAACAATGGTTTTGACAGGCACACTGACTAAATCTATTTAATTAAATCTTTGATGTGTTTTTAGCGAATATAGAGTCCCCCTTGTTATGTAAGGAGCCCTCCATGGCTGTTAATTTTTGACAGTTTTTCTAAAGTACATCTTTTTTATACAATTTGACTTGAGGGAGTAGGTCTGTAATGAGCGCCCCCTACTGACTAGAGGATTATTCCTCTTTAACATGATTGCCATGTTTGTTTTTTTCCTACACCGTAGGCAGGTGAGTTTAATTGAATGTCCAATGACATTGGGATCAACCTACGTGCCGCAGAACACGAAGAGGCGCAACTATCTGTTGGATTAATTTGGTTAAAATGTCTCTTCAAGGCTGTTTCTCATCTGAACTCCAATCCTGTTTTGGTGTTAGGTGTAACATGTTTTTCTTTGATTTTCCATTAGGATGTAATTTAAGTTTCCTTTTGAATAGTGGAGTGACTTATGTTTGTCTCCTTGAGTTTCACCTTTCTGCTCTGTGCTTCCCTTCGCGTTCTTGGATTCTCTGAATCACTTTTTTTTCACATTTTTGCTGTGTTTACCTCTCTAGCTGTTTTGTGCTCTGGATAATACCAGCTGAGGAGTGAGCTGTTACTGTACTTTAAATGCTGGTTTGCTGCTTGCGGATGGTGGCCATTAGTGACATGTTTGAATGTGTGTGCGGTCATGACCTTTGCTCTTTTCAAGGTTTTGCCAATTCCCACATGTCGAGATTGTTGAGCATACACGTGGGCACAATCAATAGCATCTTTCTCTGGATTCTGTTTTTTGATGTAGCCCATTTTCTTCTGTATGATAGGACAATATCCTGAGTCTTCTCAAAGTAGATGCAATGAATATATGTAACTCCCAGAGTAAATAACCTGCTGGAACTTACAACTCCTTTTGTCATGTGAGTAACCCTTCCAGGTAGTCAACACCATGCTGAAATCTTACATTTTGATCAAAATGCAATTTTTAACCATCCACATAGTACTTAAAAATGTAACTTACATAGTTTTTTTTCCCTCAATCAAAACATTTTTCCATAGACACGGACAGGTCTTGCCACAGATGCCTATGAACGGACAGGTCGGCGATCCGTGAACCCTGCTGTAACATTTCAGATCTCTAGCTGATTACCATGCATGAATGGGTCCATTATCATTGCCAGTGCCTGACCTGCTCCCATCTCGTTCTTGATATCTCTGATTTCTATCTGCACGAAGTCATGGCACTGAACAGGCAGCACCAATCCTGTCAGTGCATCTGCATTTCCTGTACCCGACGCTGTCTTGATGGACAGTTAAGACGGAACGTGTTGGATTCGGATAGCCTGTCAGAAAGGTATGCTTGTAGATAGCCCCCAGATTGACGTGAGTGGGTGACAGTCTGTCAACAACACAGCCTCACATCTGGAAAAGAAGTGTCTCTATTCAAAATGTCCCTTTTTATTTGACCACATGCTGTTTCTTCTTTATTGAGTATTTGTCAAGCAAATTCAACTGGACATTCTTCACCTGTAAGCAAGAAAGAACTAGTGCTGTCGATGCCACATTTATCATTTATCTGTAGTGCTAGCAAAGGGCTACCGTCGATGCCGCATCTATCATTTATCTGTAGTGCTAGCAAAGGGCTACCGTCGATGCCACATTTATCATTTATCTGTAGTGCTAGCAAAGGGCTACCGTCGATGCCACATTTATCATTTATCTGTAGTGCTAGCAAAGGGCTACCACACATCCTGACTACAGGTTCCTTCCTTTCCCAGCCTTAGCAGCTAACACAACAACTGTTATTATTATGTTATTATTATGTTTATTTTTTTTGGCCTTTTATTATTGGTGACCCCTACCCCCCTCGATCAATAAATTTTATCATCGGGAACCCTGCCCTCCACTCATTGTTTTATCATTGTTTTTATCATCACTTTTCAGATTGAAAGTGGCTACCATAACTACAATGTAACAGTAGTCATAGCTTGCCCTTTAAGAAATGAAAGTGGTGGTTATTACAGGCACACAATGCTTTATTGGGTTTGACTTCTGAAACACCTTGCTGTCCCATAGTACACCCAAAGTCAATTTTCTGGCTACGCTACTGCAGGAACCAATCATCTGACTTGCTGCCAAAATATTTTGACTGAAAAATTAAATGGAAGAAGACATTTATAAATCCAAATTCATCAGTACAGCTTCCTCGAATTACTTGAAGTGGCTGCTGTTCTATTCACATCTAGAGGAAAAAAATATGAGGTCATTGTAAATCTGTGAACCAGGCTTTTCTTGTTTGCTTTTCTTCTGTTAATGTATTAACAGGTATTAATTAGTGTGAATCACCGTCCAGAAGCAGGGGTGTATACAGGGGCGGGGCCACAGGGGCACTGACCCCAGCTGAAAGCTGACTGGTTCCCGGAGTGCCACCTCCCCTGTCACTCATCGCTTTAAAACATATCATTGGTTATGGCTGCACTTATGGCCATCACTTAAAAAAAATCTTAGCAACTCCTTTGTCCACAAAACGTTAATATTTCACATCTGCTGTGTCGTCCTACGTTGCTTCATGTTCAACAACATGCAGGTTTTCTCTTCAAGGTCCCAGGCGATTTTTTTCCTTCTCTTTCTCCAGTTTGCATTATTTCTGTCTCTCATTTCTTCCCTTTTTCCTTTACACACAATGGCCCACAGTGGCCCTTTTCTTGCTAGTGAAGTTAGGTCACTGCACTACTTCTGCGTTAGCCCATGTCCTGCTTTGCAGCTCTGTGTATTTATCGCACAGACACCGTCGTCCAAAGCGAGCAGTCGAGCGCAGTCCAGCTTTAAAGGAAGAGCATTTTTGGCAAGAACGCTGTGATGCTACAATTCCCCCCTTATTAAAGCACTTATCCATTATGATTTATCTGTAGCTTTTCCTAGTCTGTCAGCTCCATCGATGCAGGTTCCTTTTCTGGTGCTTTTAACAAGCTGATGTTACTTTTGAATCACGCACAAATGGATTGTGGTTTTAATGCTTGAATTTCACACCTTAGTTTCTTTAGTATTTTTTGAGGATGCCGTCTCCTCTTCTCAGTTATAAGCTGGTGTGTGGATTCAGAGCTCCACGGTCACACATTACAATCCATCCCCCTGGCTTTGTCTGTTCAGTCTAAATTCATGTGTCCTTGTTTTTTTTTTTTTTTCCTCATTTCTCCAGGTATTCCAATTCCCTCGCAGAACCCAAACGCATGTAGGTCAGGTTATTTGGTAAGAATTGCACTTAGTGCATCTGCTGGAGTGGCCCTGGTCTTTCTCTAAAGCTCAACGTTGTATTGTCTGGCTCAGTGGGTGGTGAAGTCATTTGTTGGAAGGTTGCTGGTTTAAGTCCCAGTTTGACTTCATGTGGGGTCCTTGGGCAAGGCCCTTATCTGCCCCAGAGACTGTTTTCCTAAAAGATAAAAGTGTCTGATAAATAATGTAAGTCTTGGTGGTTGTTGCAAATATGTAGTTTATCCTCTTTCACCTGTTCAAATTCCCTTTATTTTGCTGCAGAGTACCATTATATCCTAATTTCCACCCTAATTCCCAGTTTACATCCTAGTTCCCAGTCTACACTGGTAGTTCTGTTTATGGAGCACTGACATCCTTTATTGTTTTCTGGGTGGAGATTGGTGGAGGGAAGAAAATATTCGCTGTGAACAACTGATGTTCTGCGAACTCCAGAAGTGACATCACGCGTTTAGAATCCCAGATGCTGCTTCAGCTTCCAAACGGGGTCAGAATTATAACATCACATGAATATTAGCAAAAGATTGAGCAAGTAAAATGGCTCTTCATTTTCCGCTGTGAACTTATCAGTTTATCCAGACCTGCAATTCGGGTGTGACATCTTAGTGCAATTTTGTTGCTTGTAAATTGCATCATATTAGAATCACGATGCTTATCAGTCTTTATTTTGCCCTGTCTGTGACAGCTTTTTAATTATTCCATTAAAGCTGATAAAAATAGTAAATCGCTGTAATCAGTAAACAAAAACTGCAATATCAATGTTGCTTATTAACTGATATATTTCACAACATTTCAAGTGGTTTATAGACTAAATATAGTGTTCCTACATTATTAATACCCATCCATCCATCCATCCATCTGCCAAACAATTACTCAGTACTGCCCCTCCACCTGAAGCAGAATAGGGAAAAAGACAAGGAACACAAGGTAAAAAATAAATAAATAAATAATAATAATAATAATAATCCCTGTGGTGGTCTGGCGGCCTGCCCAGGGTGTACCCCGCCTCTCGCTCGAAGATGCTGGGATTGGCTCCAGCTTCCCCGCGACCCAGATGGATAAAGTGGTATAGATAATGGATGGATGGATAATAATAATGTGTGCAAAGTGTTATCAATGATGCATATTCAGTTGCAAACCACACAAACATACCTCCGAAACTCACCTGAAACAGCAAAGTTTGCCAGTCAGTATCACCTTTTCACTTATCAAAGAGCAACCTACCAAGTGGGGACATCTCCGGAACCATAGCAGTGTAAGGCCCGTCCAGGAACTTCGGCTCGTTGTCATTGATGTCCTGAACTTTAACGATGAATTCGGACTCAGGCTCCAGAGGACGGTTCGTGTCCCGGTCCAGGACCTCAGCTCGTAGGGTGTAATAGGCCTGTTCCTCCCGGTCAAGCCTCTTGGTAGCGTGAATGTCTCCGGTACTCTCGTCGATGACGAAGATAGAGGAAGCTCCTTCTCCAGACAGCACGTACTTCACATTGCCGTCCCCGTTATCTTTGTCTGAGTGAAGCTGTAGTAAAACAGGAGTGGGTGTTTACTTCTGACATGAAGTGAACTATGCCAAGTGCTTACGTGCATCGTTCACAACTCGGGAATTCTCATCAGCTGCTGTTGTAGTAATGACGAACCATGGCTGTGTGAGTGTCCCTCCCGAGTCCCACACTTAAACGGCAAAAGCTTTGTGTAAACAAGGTGAATAGAACTCCAGCTGAAAAACTGCCACAAATGACTTCAACTTCATCCCAGATACCTCTATATATCATCAAATTCATATCAGCTTGTCTGCTCTTAAGTACTGTACTTAATTTGTACATTACAAAGAGACATGAATAAATTAATGTCTTACAATAAATCACATTAACATGAAGGCAAGTATGTATTGTTGTCATCTTCAGTGCCTGCTCTTTGGCAGTTCTGATTAAAATTCTCGCTAACGCTTTGTTGACTAAGTCATTGTTCTTTATCAAATTTCTTTTTTCTAGCATAGACGCTTTGTTCAGTAATGCTCTCTGGAGGCTCCATAGCTACATGAAGCAGACGGCTAGAAATGTCTGGTATAAAAGACTTAAGCCTTACATATTCTGGTCTCAGGAGGGGAGGTTTTCCTCTATCCTACCAACTGTGTATACAGCATACAGTCAAGTGAAAGCGCAAAGTCTATACCCGCCAGAATCCTATAAAGCAGTGCCTCTCGACGGGTCTAGCCTCAGGACCCACATTCCTCCTTGGTCATTAAGTCATGACCCAAAAAAAAGTTGTTGATTGTGAAGTTATAGGTGGGGAGTGGGGGTTACAGCTGAGAAGCAGTGCTATAAAGGCTGCCCACTAGCTGAGTAACAGCCTAGTCTCCTTCACACTACCCTCAGCAGTATCGTACTCTGTAAGTACGTCTAAACTAACTTTCTTTCACTGCCTGAAACTAATTTTTTCAAAGTTTTCAAGTTCGATTTGTCACATACCCAATCAAACACTGAACTACTGTGAAGTGAAATGCTTTCCCACTTGGTTCCTGAATTGTGCTAGACAGGAAATAGGTAATACAAAGAAAAACAAATAGTATCAAAAGATTCAAATAAATAAGATGTGCAATGAAACGTGGGATTGTATGGAGTGTGTGAACTGGAGAGCGAGCTATGGGGCTTATTAACTAATACATAATATTGGGTGCAAAATATCCATATGTATATATTGTATACTATATGTACCCTTCCTCTCAGTATGGAATATCATTTGGGACTACCTTAAAATTATACATCATTGCAAGATTTTTCATGTCCAGAGCAAAGATATGATTGCATTTTGATCAGTGAAGAGGAATGACAAACGATGAAAACATCCTCCCAGCAGCATTTGGAAATAAGGACCTCTGATCTCTCTGAGAGTAATCAGCACATTTGGGACTCTCCCTAAACTTAATATTATTTCCCATACCTGGGACGTGCGTGTGAGGGAGGCAAATTAATTCCGATCTGACTGAAGCGATGGAGGTGTCCGTCCCTTGCATATAAAGCATGTTAGAACAGTGCAATTTATATCTTGAGCCCACTAGAAACAATAGATTTGTAGCCTATGGTAGGAAATCTGTGGAGTGAGTGGAAAGAAATACAATTACAGAGATACAATAACTTCATCCAAAAACCAGCACCTTTTTTTATCTCTATTATTTCATCCCTACGTAAAAAAAAAAAAAATCTTATTTCTTTCACAAGAAATTACTCACAGTTACAACATTTATCATGCAAAGCTGTGCTTCGTTAAGAAAGTGTAAGGAAAAGTCTGCTTTTTTATTCCTACTTTGAAATTCTTGTGAAAATTCACATATCAGTTTCTAAGTATAATATTCTTGTGAGATGCTATAAAAGTCTACAGGGGTGAATATTTGACCAGCATATTGTATTAAAGAAACATTTACCAATAATCTTTATTAACATGCTACTTTTTTTGACATTTGCCAAACGGCATAGCTACGGAAGATTTAGCATTGAATGTGGTATTAATGCCACTTGGATTTTGATTCTTCACACTGTTGAATATCTGTATATAATAAGTACAAAATAAACAATACAAAATATGTAACTACAGATTAGTTGATATATTATTTGTGACGTGTGTAACTGCATTGTGGAAATGACTTGTAGATTAGCCAACATTCTACTTTTTTTTTTCTTTTCCCACTACAGTGAATGTGGGTTCACTTACTGTACCTTGCATGACTAGAAAAAAATGTGGTTCATGTCTCAACAGGTTTCTTAGTGGTTAAGGACTAAGACTAATTAAAAGGTTGCTGGTCAAAGATTCAAGAAGGTTTCTTCCACCGTTCTCTTGGGCGTGACTGGAACTACACTGGCATGAAAAAATCCATGCAGGGGATGGTTCTATCACATAGTCAGTCCTAAATAACAAGGCCACAAATGTAATGCACAAACTTAGACTATTTATTTGTGATACCAGAGGATATGACTTGAAGAAGATGTAGGAAAGTTTCTGCAATCTTGCAAACATTTAAAATGGATATCTGTTCCATCACAGATCCCCTGTATTCTTGGTTGAAAGCATCCTTAGACTGTCTCCAATCAGGAAACCCATCTGTATTTTGGAAAAAGGGGTGAAAACTTACTATATTATGTTTACTCATTGCTCATGGTTCAAGGTTTGATGCTTTTGCAGCAGGTTATGCATCCAGATTGCAGCCCTAACATAAATCCCAACTTGGTGAGGCGCATAATGCAGACTTTGTTGAGTCTGGGTCACAGAGGTGCTGTATGGATTCTGTGGTCATTTTTGATTCCATACTTTTGTAGTCTTTAGCAACTATGCTGTTACTGTAAGTGTTCATCTAGTTCTGTCAGTGAGCTTCAATTTGAGACTACTGTTCTGCTTTGCTAATACACTATAGGGACAAAAGTATTGGGACACACCTCTTAATCACTGAATTCACTTGTTTCATTCAGACACATTGCCACAAGTGTTTAAAATCAAGCGTCTACCCATACAGTCAGGTTTTCAAACATTTGCAAAAGAATGGGTCGTTCTGAAAAGCTCAGTGAATTTAAACATGGTACTGTCAAAGGATGCCACCTTTGCAATAAGTCAGTTTGTGATATTTATTCCCTGCTAGGCATTTTATGGTCAACTGTAAATTGTATTATTGCAAGGTTAAATTATTTAGGAACAACAGAAACTCAGCCACGAAATGACAGACCACGTAAAGTGGCAGTGTGTGGTCGCCGAGTGCTGAAGCACATAGTGTGTAAAAATCGTCAATGTTCTGTTGACTCAATAACTGCAGAGTTCCAGACTTCCTCTGTCATTAACCCTAGCATGAAAACTGTACACCAGGAGCTTCATGGAGTGGGAATCCATGTCCAAGCATCTGCTTGCAAGCCTCACATCACCAAGCGCAATCCCAAATGTCGGATGGAGTGGTGTAAAGCACACCATAACTGGGCTCTGGAGCAGTGGAAACATGTTCTATGGAGTGATCAATCATACTTCTCTGCCTGGCAGTCTGATGCATGAGTCTGGGTTTGGTGGATGCCAGGAGAACTTTACCTGTCTCATGGGGCTGCACGATTAACCGTAAAACATGATCTCGAACTCTATCCGATCTCATTTCTAAATTACAATTGTTCTTCTGCATTGTATTACATCAGCTGGATCAAAACAAGTGCTCCTACTTTTCCTCAGAGAGTCTCAAGCGTTCCATAATTCTGCATTCTTTCCCACCGCACCAGGTACTGTACCTTACTATTGGTACTTCAAGAACGTACCATAAGTACGGTACTTCAAAGTGTTGGTTTCCCACTGCCATAAAAACTGGTACTGGCACTGAATGACATCACAGCACAAGGTGGAGTATTTTGTACTGAATTCAAAAAATGGCTGTATATTTTAGGGCTGATCGATGTGTGATATTAATACCAATATCGCATGTCGTGTAATTCTTATTCGCCAGTTAGCTAGATTAAGATCAGGCTTTTTCTTTTACTTTCGATTCTTTATATGGACATTATAGCACAGGGAGTTTAATTTTCACTGAAGCATTTTTACTCTGTCATAGGAAAAAAATTATCAAGTTTTGCTATTTTAATTATTATTTCTTTTCAATATTTTCTAGTGTATAAAATCAGTTTGAAGTTTAATGCTGCATGTGTTCTCCCAGACAATCATAATCATTTTCACCCATCATTCCAAGACGGGTTTTTCCCCAATATTTAATAAATACCCCAATATTTATTACCATAAAATCGCATTGCAATACTTAGAAGTTTTCCAATACCGTGCTGTCATAGTATATTATACAAAATACTTAATTTCTTTTTATGCTATCTTGATCTCTGGTTCTTCTGACCAGATTGCAGTTAAAGCTTGGGTCACTTCATTTGTCCATGAACCTATTATTAGCTAGCTGAGCATTTCCGTTCTGTTGTCAGAAGTTGATATGCTGGTCCTGGGTCAATCATATATTTGGCACAGCCATGTTTTGTTGTGTTTGCTTTTGCAGTTTAATGAGTGCAATGTTTGAATTTAAGAAAAAATATCGTGACAAGAACCGTGATCTCAATTCTAAGCAAAAGAATAGCAATTCACATTTTGCCAGACTGCACTGTGCCAACTGTGAAGTTTGGTGGAGGAGGGATAATGGTGTGGGGCTGTTTTTCAGGGGTTGGTCTTGGCCCCTGAGGTCCAGTGAATGGAACTTTTAATGCTTCAGCATACCAAGACATTTTGGACAATTCTATGCTTCCAGCTTTGTAGGAACAGTTTGGGGAAGGACCTTTTCTGTTCCAGCATGTCTGTGCCCCAGTGCACAAAGCAAGGTCCATAAAGACATGGATGGGTGAGTTTGGTATGGAAGAACTTGACTGGCCCACACAGAGCAGTGACCTCAACCCTATTGAACTACAATGGATATTGTGAGCCAGGCCTTCACATCCAATATCAGTGCCTGACCTCACAAATGTTCTTCTGGCTGAATGGGAAAATATTCCCACAGACACACTCCAAAAT